CCTCCTCCTTGCTCCCAACTCCTCCTCGTTCTCCTCCTTTCTCCTTCTCTTTCACCTCCCACTTCTTCTCTCCCCCTTCCTCCCCTGCTCCTGCTCCTGCTCCTGCTCCTCTTCCTCTCCCTTCCTCTCCCCCCCCTGCCTCCTTCCTCCCTCCCACTCACCTTAGTCTCGAAGGCTGTCACGCACTCCCCTGACCTCAGGTCCCAGAACCTGATCGTCTTGTCTTGCGACACAGACACGCAAAGGTCGTTGAGGAGGAGGACGCCATGTACCAGGCCCGTGTGCCCCACCAGCGCCGCCTCCTCCTTGAGTACCACCAGGTCCCACACCTTCATCGTTTGATCCGCGCTACCAGTCACGAGCTTCTGCCTGTCGAGAGGAAGAGCGGGTGAGGAGGAGGAGGGAGAGGAGGAGGAGGAATGGGGGGAGGAGGGGGACGAGTGGAAGGAGGAGGAGGAGGAAGGAGGAAGGGGAGGAGGTGGTGGTGGTGGTGGGAGGAGGGGAGGAGGAGGGGTGGTGGTGGTGTGGTAATGGTGGAGGAGGAGGAGCGGGAGACCTCCCAACGGCGAGACTTGTTACACCACCACGATGACCTCTTAGCTCGTCGACACATTCAGGTTCATGTTGAGAGATGTCCCAAACTCTTATCTGATGACAAAGATGTCAATCTCAGATGTCATGATCACGCTCTCTCGACGACATAATCACCTTCATCACCATTGATATCAACATCATTATCATTTTCATTGTGATCATCTTCTTCATCACAAACATCATCACAATCGTCATCTCCATGCCATCTGCTCTATCATTGTCTTGTATTGTTTCTTCCTCCTCGTCTCATTCTTCGCATATCATCGCAACTTCAAGACTTTTTGCTCTCACCGTCCGATCTATCGACGCGCTGAACAGCTTGCGATACTCGACACTCTGACCAAGTTGAGAGACCCTAGCAAAGAGATCAGAAAAAGAGCAGACAAGAAAAGAGAGACGAGAAGAGAGAAGAGAGGACGGGACAAGGAAGGAGTGAACAGGAGTGGTCAGGAATCAGTGGGAACAGGAGGATATAAATAAAAAAGGGGAGGACCACAACCAGGACGGGGGCGAGGACGAGGACAAGGGCGAGGGCGAGAACGAGGACGAGGACGAGGACGAGGACGAGGACGAGGACGAGGGAGAGGAAAAGGACGAGGACGGGGACGAGGACGAGGAGGAGGAGGAGGAGGAGGAGGAGCAGTAGCATCCTCACCCTTCCTTGTGTCCCTCCAGCACCATCGAGCATCTCTGAGGGATCCATCGCACTGCATCCTCCTGCACCTAAATCAGACAAGCGAGGAAAGGAGGAGGTGGAGGAGGAGGTGGAGGAGGAGGAGCAGCAGCAGCAGCAGCAGAAAGAGCAAGAGGAGGCAGTAAAGGAAGCGAGAGGAGGAGGGGAACAAGGGGGAACAACTACAGGAACAGACAGCAGAGGAGCAGGAGGAGCAGAAGGAGTACCTGGTGCGTGGTTTCTTCATGCACATCAACTATCCCATGTGACCTCTCCTCCCGCTTTTCAAAAGTTTCCTTGCCCATCATGTTCGTTCCGTTCTCCTGCTATCCGTCAGATGTAGCAGAACATGTTGAAGAGAAAGTTTCGCTACTCGTGATGGGTGGTGATGGCTGGAAATTTGTTCTTGTAGCTCGATACATCTTTGCCTGAAGGTTGCAGAACACAATATCATGGTTGTCGTCTTCTTGTTTTGATCTCCACCAGCAATCACATTCATCATCATCATCATCATCATCATCATCATCATCATCATCATCATCATCATCATCATCATCATCATCATCATCGTCGTCGTCGTCGTCATCATCATCATCATCGTCGTCATCATCATCGTCATCGTCATCATCATCATCATCAGCAGCAGCAGCAGCAGCAGCAGCAGCAGCAGCAGCAGCAGCAGCAGCAGCAGCATCTCAAACATCACCTCAACATCACAATCTCTTCAGTCTGCCTGCACAACGGAATCAGCGAACAATCTTTCACCATCATCCGCCTCCTCCTCACATGCGAACTGTCGACTGCAGAGAAGAAATCTGCTGCTGCTGATGTCTCATCTCTTCCTTGACAACCTCGTACGGGCAAATAACCAAATGCTCCCGCACAAACTTCCTCGGCCCCTTGAACCGACAGCCTATGATGGCATGCACGCAGCAGATCTGAAGGTTCGGTCAGGGGCAGGAGGAGGAGGAGGAGGAGGAGGAGGAGCAGCAGCAGCAGCAGCAGCAGCAGGCCCACCACGGGCAGCAGCAGCAGCAGCAGGAGGGAGCAGGACGAACAGGAGCAGGAGCAGAAAGAAGCAGACAAACAGGAAGAGGAGGAGGAGGAGGAGGAGGAGGAGGAGGAGGAGGAGGAGGAGGAGGAACACTACCTGCGCTGAAGGATCGGGTGCAAGAGGGCAGTCCAGCATATGCACAGTTGCGTCTCCTGAGAAAGGGAGAAGAACGAGGGAGAGAGAGAGACAGAGAGAAAGAGAGAAGAGAAGAGGAGAGGAGAAGAGGAAATTTCAGGTTTGGTGCTCCCAAAGAGAAAGAGAATTCAACAAGAAATGCAAGGCAGGGAACCAGCAGAAACGATCGAGCAGCAGGTATGCTAGCGAAAGAAACGGGAACACGACAAGGATGACCATGAGGACCAGAGCTGGGGTTTACCAGGTTTGAAATTTGCTCCACAACTCCAGGGGCAGGAGACAAGCGCGCGCAATTCTTGGAAATGGAACCCAAAGTTGACGGTCTTTGATATTCTCAACTAAGAATCGCAGTTAAATCCTCTTCTCCCTCCCTCCCTCCCTCCCTCCCTCCCTCCCTCCCTCCCTCCCTCCCTCCCTCCCTCCAAATTTCATCCCCGCATCTTACCTGGATCATTCCAAACTCTTCTCCTTTCTGCTTGCTTGTCCTTTCCTCCCCATCCCCCTCCCCCTCCTGCTCTTCCTTCTCCTCCTCCTCCTCCTCCTCTGCCTTCTCAATGCGCATCCCATCCTGAACCTCCTCCTCCTCTGGCAAAGGGCGATGGAGTGCTATCCACGACTCAGACGACGCATCCTCTCGTACGGTAGCCAACGGAACCTACACATGATAAAAATCAGAACATACACACCAACCCCTCAGCATCCTCCTGCCCCTGCTGCTGCTGCTGCTGCTGCTGCTGCTGCTGCTGCTGCTGCTGCTGCTGCTGCTGCTGCTGCTGCTGCTGCTGCTGCTGCTGCTCTGCTGCTGCTGCTGCTGCTGCTCGCTCCTGCTCGCTCCTGCT